AACAGTTTCATATTCAAGTATATCAAGGGTCAAGAACACGATGGTGGGGATGAGCCTCATTGCAGTGACTTCAGCTCAATTGGTTTCCATTACTTGCTCCTTCAAGCCAATCATCAGGCACAGAGAACATGGTGTACTGACTGACATGGACATGAGTACTGTGATGCTTCTCTTGAGAAGAATATGAAGTCCAAGGAACTTCATGGGTTGTGAGAGGAAGCCCAAACAAAAGGCACAGTGATGGTTGCTGTCAATTTGACAGAATGTGCAATCACTTGGAGACAGGCCTCTGGGCATACTGGTATGGGATTATCTTGATTATTAATTAGCCACCTGCCCACTATGGGCGGCACCACTCCCTGGTTGGGATCCTGGACTATACACCGGAAGAAAGGAAGCTCCGCAGCAGCAACAGCACTCACTCATCCCCCTTTCCCCTGGAGGTGGTTTTGATGGGGCATTTTAACATGGCAACATAAAAATAACAACAAAAGCCCACACAACCAAACAAAACCATGACAGGTGCAATCGCTAGAAAAAAGGAAGATAATGGAGGTAAACACATGTCCATGAGACTTCACGTCTGATTCGGGAAAGCCTTTTTCTTCTCACAATAGGCACACTGCAGCCACACCTTCCTCAGGATCCGCCCCAGTCAGCTCTTTTGAGCTGTTTCCCACACAAGTTCTTACAGTGGGTAATTTCTGAGGCAGACTGAACCAGTCTAACGTCATGGTTCACTCTCCTATACACCATAAAAGACCAAGCTCTTTTGTTTTTAAAGATTTATTTATTCTTTATGTACATTGGGATTTTACCTGCATGTATGTCTGTGTGAGGATGCCAGATCCCATGGAACTGGAGTTACAGATAGTTGTGAACTGCTATGTGAGTGTTGGGAATTGAACCTGGGTCCTTTGGAAGAGCAGCCAGTGCTCTTAACTGCTGAGCCATCTCTCCAGCTCCAAGACCAAGCTCTTTTAGAGACAATGTACAAAAAACATAAACACACAAGAAGAATTAAAGATTACACTCTATTCTCATTGCATTAGCATGACCACTATTTCTTAGTTATTTCCTCCCGGTCTGTCTTCTATGAAATATGGTTCATTTTTTGTCATACTCTTTTTTAATGTTCTTGAGATTCTTTCGAACATGTTTCTACTTTTTAATTTTATGTCATAAAAAATTTTACCAGAGTAGTATGCAGATCTCATGAGTATAACTTATTTCCATAACCTATTTAAACAATTGGATCTAGTGTCTGTGAAATAATCACAGTTTGACAGGGGAGGCAAGTGCACACACACACACACACACACACACACACACACACACACACACACACACACAAACCAAATGAATGTAATAATGTTGTGGGATATTTGTACACTATGTGAAGATATATTGCTCTGATTGGTTTACTAAAGAGCTGAATAGCCAATAGCTAGGCAGGAGGTATAGGCAGGACTTCTGGGCAAAGAGAAAGGAAGTAGAAAAAGCCATAGAGAAGCAGAACAAGTTGGACACACAGAATAAGAGAGAGGTAATAGCCCATGGTAGAAGGTAGATTAATAAAAATATGGGTTAATTTAAGTTATAAGAGCTAGTGGGACAAGCCCAAGCTAAGGCCGAACTTTCATAATTAATACATCTCTGTGTCATTATTTGTGAGCTGGTAGCCCAAGGAAAGCCCTACTACATAGATTTTAAAAAGCCCCCAACTCATGCCTTGTTGACACAGATCTCTTTACATGCTGGTCTTGTGATGACTGCTTTAACAAATGACAGCAAAAAAAGATTACCTTCTCATTTTACTTTCTGAATATGGTGTTTGACAACCACTTATAGGGGAGGAATTATGGGCTAGGTACTTCTCAGAGCTGTTTTGTTTAGTGTTCACAACGACCTTGTGAAGCAGGTTCTTGTGCTGGTTAGTGCTAATTATCAACTTGACAAAATCACTTGGGAGGTGGCCTCTGAACACCCAGAGGACTACCTAGATCCTATGGGGGTGAGAAGACCCGCTCATGGTGGGTGGCACCATCCCCTGGGCCTGGACTGAAAACAAGCCGAGCGCTAGCATGCAAGCCCCCGTTTCTCTCTTCTGCCGATCGATGTAACGTGGCCAACTCCTTGAAGCTGCCCGACGACGTACTGCTGGGACAGGCTTCGACGTGGAACTGTGAACAAAGAAACTCCTTCTCCCCTAAGCCGGTCAGAGTAGTTTATCATACTGGAAAAGAAATTAAGACAGTCTCCCCCAGATGAACAACCCCCTCCGACCCCCAGAAATTACGTAGCTTGCTCAAGGTCATGTAGCTGGTGAGAGGCAAAGCCAGGATGAACACAGATAGTTCATGTTTAGGTACTGAAATCCTAATGACATGGTAGTCATTTAGGATTCCTCTTTAGAAATAAACTTTTAGCTGATTGGTGGTGCTGCACACTTCTAATCCCACCACTTGGGAGGCAGAGGCAGGTGGAGCTCTGAGTTGAGGCCAGTCTGGTCTACAGAGTGAGTTCCAGAACAGCCAGGGCTACACAGAAAAACCCTGTCTTGAAAAAAAAAAAGAAAGAAAGAAAGAAAGAAAGAAATACATTTTTTTTTTCTTATACAGAATAGGCTGCCCTTGAACTCCTGATCTTCCTGTCTCTACCTCCAAGTCCTGGGATTACAGCCATAACCACAGCTCACTTCCCCCACCCCCTTTGAAGACAGAGTTATTCAAAATCAATGTTCAAATTATACTTCTTTTCTTTTGACTCAGGGTCTCACTGTCTAGCCCTGGCTGGCCTGGAACCCACAATGCAGATAGACTGGCCTTAAGCTCAGAGATGTGTCCGCCTCTGCCTCCCGATGGCTGGGACCACATCTGGCCTGCACTTATTTCTACACTCAGAAATTCATTTTCCTTTACATTGATTTCATACGCTGTCTTTCTATGTCACTGACCAAAACATTTAATTTTTTTCTTTTCTTTGAGACAAGGTCTCTTGAAGCTCAGGCCACAAACTCACTATGTGGCTGAGGATAACCTTTAACTTCTGATGCTCCTGCCTCCACCTCTCAAGTGCTGGAAATACAAATGTGAGCCATCCCACCAGTTTTATGAAGTTCAAGGATCAAACCCTGGGTGCTGGGCTTGCTGGGTAAGCACTGTACCAACTGAGCTACATTCCCAACACTCAGCCTTGGCTGAAGACTGAAGTTCTCAGACTCAGTTTCCAGAGGCCTTCTCCTTGGCACATCAGACCCTTCTTTTTCTGACCCAGCATCTGATCTAGCTGCAGTCTGGGGAGCAGGCAGACATGCAGCAGACGCTGCCGGCAAACAAGTAAAGCGGCTGGTTGTCTTTTAAGCCTCTGCACCATTCTGTAACTGTGAGTCAGGACTCTTCAAAACAGAGCCATGCACTGATAAGGATGGAGACGGGACCTGTAAAGTGCAGCCCGAGTCCTTTTCATCTTTATGTGAACGTCACAGAATGCAGGAGTGCACGCACACAAGACCAGACGGTGTTGGATCATCCATCTAGGTCTCCACGCAACCAACAGACACAGTAAACACCGGACCTGTGAGGCTGCTGCTGGCATAGAACAGTGTGTAGGGGTTTTGTCTGTTTGTTTGGGGTTTGGTTTTGTTTTGCTTCTTGAGGCAGAATCTCCCTGGCAGGCCTGGAACTTGCTATATAGGCTCGCCTCAAACTCACAGATATCCTTCTGCTTCTGCCTCCTGAGTGTGAGTGCTGAGATCAAAAGCATGCCCCACCATACTTTTTTTTTGTTGTTGTTGTTGTTTTTCCGAGACAGGGTTTCTCTGTGTAGCTTTGCGCCTTTCCTGGAACTCACTCTGTAGACCAGGCTAGCCTCCAACTCACAGAGATCCACCTGCTTCTGCCTCCCAAGTGCTGGGATTAAAGGCGTGTACCAAAACTGCCCGGCCTGTTTTTGTTTTTTAAAGGAAGTTCAGAAACTTTGAAAAAGTCATTCATTTGTTTCTGTGTATGTATGTGTGTGGCCATGTGTGTGCCCCACATGTACCTCCCTCTTTCCACATTAACCTGCCACTATTTCAAACACTAGATCATGCTAGGGAGAACACTTTCCTGAGAAGCTGCTGTTTGAAAGGCATGCGAGGTCAGAGGGCAACGTGTTCAAGTCTGTTCTCTTCCGGACAGAACTCAGGTCAGCAGGCTTGCGAGATGTCTCACCAGCCCTGTTCTTTGTTGTTGTCTTCTCTGGCATTATGCACTATAGGCATATACTGTAAAATGATGATGAAAAGTGAACTACAGTAAATTCATAAACCTACTATGTGGTTGTTTATTGTTAAGTATCGTGCCCTACATATAACTGTATAATTGTGTTGCTCTTTTTCCTCTTTCTTTTAGTCTTGGGGATTAGATCCAGGTTCTTGCATATGTAGGCGAGTGTCCTGCCACTGAGCTCCACAGCAGCCTGCTAGACCTTTACATTATGGGCAGCAAAGCGTGTTTGCTTACTCTGGGATCACGGTGATGCAAACGTGAGTAATCGTTACTTTATAGAATTGCTAGGCAATTAAATTCTTCACCTTCATTGTAACTGCAGTCCACAGATGACCAAAACATACATGTTGGGCACGTTGTTAGGTCTCAGAAACCCGGGACAAATGGCTGAGGTGCCTCTGACACGTGACTATGTCAAGCTATGCAAGGGACTCAGGAGATACAAGGTGGGATTTTCCTTCCCCTGCGAGCAGCCTGGGCACAGGATGCCCATCAGGCTGAGCCTGACACAGAAGCAAGCGCTTCCAAGCTAGTCTTCGGCACAGAGGTGGGCAGAACAGCTTCCTCCAGGGAGTGTGTCTGTGGTGGCTGAGCAGGGGCACAGTACCACCAAAATCCTTTTAGGAGGAAGTCAAAAAACCAACAGCATGAGGGAATAAGCCTCCCTCTTCGGCTCTGTTAGCCTCACCCTCTACTTTTCCTCCTCTCCTCTCCTCTCCTCTCCTCTCCTTACCCTCCCTCCCTCCCCCCCACCTCTCTGGTACTCAGGTCTTTGTGGTGCTTACTCCCATGAGCTGTTTGGGAAGGAGTAGGTGTGCCCTTGTTGGAGAAGGTGTGTCACTGGGGGTGGCCTTCGAGGTTTCAAAAGCCTATACCAGGCCCAGTGTTTCTCTCTATCTGCTGCCTACAGATCAGGATGTGAAGCTCTCAGCCAGTGCTCCAGCGCCGTGCCTGTCTGCTGCCTGCCATGATGACCATGGACTAACCCTCTAAACCTGTAAGCAAGTCCCCAGTCAAATGCTTTCTTTTCTAAGAGTTGCCTTGGTCATGGTGTCTGTTCACAGCAATAGAACACTGACTTAGCACCTTACTCAAACCTGTCCAGTAAGTACTATACCATGGACCTACACGCACCCCCCCAGCCTTGACTTCCTGCCCTGGAGGGCCAGGGCCACCTTCACTCCTATAGGGGGCTCTCCAAGGACTCAGCAGAGGGTGCAGACATGAGCAGGGACACGTGAGGCCCAGCTGTGCAGCCAGCTGCCACCTTAAACTGAGCTTCATTTTGCTGTGTTCTTTTTAGACCCCAGTTATATTTACATCTTTCAGACTTTATTATTTACTTCTGAGGAACAGTTTTTCAGATGAGATCAGCATGTTCAAGTTTGGGAGGCTAAAGGCAGATCAGTTTTCAAATTTCAGTTAGACCCAGAGCAGAACTTTCTGAGTCATCTTTGTACTCCCAATACTCAGTACAGGGCTCTATAAAGGGGCCCTGCAGGAAAGAATGCCTTCCTGTGTGACTATGGGTAAACACGTACTGGTTTCCCTTTTCTCCTGGCTTTTTAGTTCTATGTGGGCTCTAGTGAGAGTGTTCACGCTATGTGATGGGCACTTAGCACCTGAGTCATCTACACAACCCCAATCCTTCTTACAGATTAACACAATATATACATTTTCCCATTACCATAAATTCTTCCAAGATATTTTATACATCTCTGTAGTTTAATATTAATAATTTAGTAAAGTCTTAAGTCACTGTTCTGTTGCTGTGAAGACACACTATGGCTGAGGCAACTCTTAAAAAGGGAAGCATTTAAGTGGGGGCTTGTTTACAGTTAGTGGCTTAGTACATTATCCTCATGGTGGGGAGCACGGCAGCACACATGCTGGAGCAGTAGCTGAGAGTTCACATCCTCATCTGCAGGCCGGCAGAGAGAGAAAAGCTGGGCCTGGCATGGGCTTTGAAATCTTAAAGCCCAGTGACAAACTTCCTCCAATAAGACCACACCTACTCCAGCAAGGCCACACCTTCCGATCCTTTTAATCCTTAGAAGTAGTGCCACTCCCTGGTGACTAAGCATTCAAACACATGAGCCTCTGGGGCCACCATTTGCATTCAAATCACCACAGGCAATAGTATGACTATGCCACAATTTTCTAAGCTAGTCTCTCAGTGCTAGCATTGGAATTATTTTCTATTATTGTGGATAAAATTGTGATCAATTTTTTCATTCACATTTTCACTTAGTTTCTTAGATTTCCCTGAACTGGAATTACTGGGTAAAATGGCATGAAAAGCCTTTTGTTCATTTAATGGTTGAAAACATATCATCTTGTAGTTTTAATCTGTATTTCTTTCCTTGTTGATGATGTCAAATGTTTTCTAAACCTTTGTTTACTAGTTTTATTTCCTTCTTTGTGAACTTTCTATTCATATCCTTTGTCTGTTTCCTGTTAGGGTCTAAGTATTTTTCACATTAATTTGTATTCTTTCTCACCATAAAATCCCTAGCCTTTGTCTTAATCCTAACGTCTTTCTTGGTCTGAATTTCAATGTTAGAGTATTTGTTTGTTGGTACAAATATTTTTCACAACTTAAGACTTTTTCCCTCCTCCTCCTCCTCTTCTTTTTGAGAAGTGACCCTAAAAACACAAGGTGGCTTCAGCAGAATGATCTGCCCTTTCTTGTCCAACGCTCCCCTTCACAGAATCACTCCCATTTCCCCATTTCCAAAGGTTCTAAGGGCTCCTGGGCTCAGTCCAAATATGTCTTCTCATCTCTTTTAATGCCCTAGGCAACAGCTGATCTAGCTCGGGACTTTGATTTGACCCCACCCAGTTTCTACTGCCAACCTGGACCCCTGCCCCGGCCCTCCAGATACCAGCTTCTGATGTGGCACCTCCTCTTGGCTGTCCAACAGGAATCCCAAGCAGTTCCTTTCCTCACTGCTGTGACAAAATACCTCACAAAAGCAACTGAAAGAAGAAAGGGTTCCTTCTGGCTCACAGCTGGAGGGTAGAATCCACCACGGGAAGGTGTGCTCAGAGTGGCTCCAGCTGTGGAGGCAGGTGACTCGGCGGCGAGGCAGCTGTTCTTGTTGGGTCTAGAATGAGGAGCAGGAGGATAATTCTCATGCTCAGTTCACTTTCTCCTTTTTACTCACCAGACCCCAGTCCATGGGATGCTTCTGCCCACATTCAGGGTAGGTCTTTACTACTTAGCTAAACTTCTCTGGAAATACCCTAATGTATGTTCCCAGGTGATTTAAAAACCCATTTAAGTTGACAATGAAAATTCAGCATCACATATGGCCTTCTTATCAAAGTCCAAGTCTTTTTTTGTTTGTTTTGAGACAGGGTCTCATGTGGCCCAGACTAACCTTGAACTCCTAATCCTCCTGCCTCTACCTTCTAACTCCCAATTTGAATTATAGGCAGGCATTACCATGACCAGCTTCAAGTTCTTTTTTTTAAATTATTTTATTTTAATTTTAATATTTATTTTAATCGGGTTTCTCTGTGTAGCCCTGGCTGTCCTGGAACTTAGGCCAGGCTAGCCTTAAACTCAGAGCTCTGCCTGCCTCTGACTGGGATCAAAGGCATGCACCACCATGCCTGGCTTCAAATTCTTGACACCCAGATGGCACCCTGAATCCTAGGGATGCTCATTTTAAAGGGTCTGCAGTCATCCTTGACTCCTGTCTGTCATGCTTTCAATCACCAGAAAGTCCTAACAAATAGAACTGGAGTCCAACCACTTTCAGTGTAAGTCTCAACATCCAGGGGCCGCCTGCCACTGCAGCAGCGTCCAGGGGCCGCCATCCTTCCTCTCTTAGCCCTTCTCTTATCTATTTGACCCACTTCAATCTTTTGAAGATGAGGTAGATCATGTTTCATCACCACGAAAAACCTTCCAGCATGTTTCCTGGCTGCCAGGTGATCTTCCTAACTCCTCCTTACCTGCCCAACTCAAGCTTCTTTGCTGACTCAGCTCCAGCCACATTGGTTCTATGATTCCTTCAAGATGTCAGTCGGGTGTGCTCTCACCTTTGGGAGACATAAAACATTTAAAATGGCACCAGGCAGTAACCTGGTGCCCTGAGTTGTTTCACTCACATATACCACCATTACTCCTGACAGTGTATCACATCTCTGCCACCGTTTTTCTTTGAAGAAAATCCCCTTGCTACTTTGCATATTTGTGTGAACTTTTGAATAAGAGGCCAAGAACCTGAAAAGACCCTGCTGGACCAATGTTAATCCCGCCTTCCTTCCTTTTTTGTTTCAGTATTCAGGATCAAACTCTGGGTTTTGCCCACGCTAGACAACTGAGCTACATTTCCAACACTAATCCAGCACAAGGTTTTCCCTGAAAACTTCTGACATCTCATTGACCAGAACTAGGTTAGATGACCTCCCCTAGCTGCAAGGGGGGCTGAGATGAGGGAGGCAAGGGAGAAAGCAGAGGATGTGAATGAGAACCTTTTCAGACCCTACCTTAGAGCTACTGAATCAGAAATGCTGGGGTTATGGCACGAATACCAGCAATCTATGTGGTCACAGACCTCCGGAAGATTCTGATATATCTGAAGCTGGTGAATCATCGCCATATGATGGGGCTTATTTATTTGTCCCTGTTTTGGGAAAGGGTCTCATGTATTCCAGGTTGGCCCGAAACTTGCTATGTAGCCAAGGGAAACCTTGAATTCCTGGTTTATTTATTTATTTTTACCTCCTGAATGCTAGTATTGTAGGTGTGAGACACCACACCCCATTTATGGACTGCTGGGGATAAAACCCAGGGCCTCCTCCATGCTAGGCAAGCATCACACTTTACATTACACTACTCCCCCAGCTCCCATTGGAGTCAGTCTTGTGGTATGAAAAGAATCCTGGACTAGTACACATACCACCTGTTTTCTTTGTGGAGTTCTGTTACTTGCTCACCAGAAGACATTAGTTTTCTGACCTATAAAATGGGAGCGATAATAGCTACATGATTTCACTGAATAAACTGTGGTGACAAATTTAAATAATGTAGATGGAAACAATGGAACCTGTAAATCATTAGGCAAATGTTTTGATTTTTTTGTTTTGGTTTTGGATTTTTTGTTTTTTGAGACAAGGTTTCTCTGTGTAACAGTCCTGGCTGTCCTGGAACTTGCTCTGTAGACCGGCCTGGCCTTGAGATCCACCTTCCTCTGCCTCCCGAGTGCTGAGATCAAAGGTGTGTGCCACCACTGCTCTGCACAAATGTTTTAAGTTCTGAATGAATTATGTCTGACGTTCAGAGACAAAATAAAACTGGAAAGAACATAATGGTGACTGTCATCATCGGCAAAGAGCCAGGGCTGACACAGGAGAATGGAGACTGCCATTGTGCTGTCTGTATTGCATTATGGGTCAACATCTCAGACAAGGGAAACTCCCTTGACGAAATCTCATGTTTGAGAATTGCAAGTGGCCAATCAATACAAGGTCAAACCTTTTATCGACTCCTAGAGGTGTGGCATTTGATTACACTCCTTTATTTTATTCTGAGCCAGGGTCTCATGTCATACTATGTAGCTCAGCCTGGCCTGGAGTTCACTATCTCGAAACTCACATTAGAGTCTCTGGTCTCGGTTTCCCAAGTGAGGGGATTACAGACATGTGCCAGCACACCCAGCTTGAGTTCTGGTCTTTCACAGACGTTTTTCCGGGGTCAATAATGAAAGCGGGATTTTGCCATACCTTTGTCAACAGTTTACGTAGCTGACATGATGGGCAGAGTACAAATGCCTGGGAAACCCAAAACTACCCATAAAAGGTCTAAAGAGATAGAAAAGTTACAACAGTCAGAGACAGAAATAGAAACTGAAACCACAGAAACTCAGAAGCGCACCATTACAAAACAAGCTTTTTGGGGTGGCTGCTCCAGGTGGTTTCCAGAAGAGCAAGAAGGCACAGGAGACTTCCTAACAAACACTTTGGAGGGTACCAGAAGGGAGCACTGGAAGGGAGCACTCACAGGAAGATGGGCGAGAGGCTAGGAAACACATTCAAGGGATTTAATGTTCTGGTTTTGGATTAAAAAGCCCAAGATGCTACTGTCTGAACACCAAGTCTGGCACCCATTCCTTGTGTATTAAAGCCCGCTCACGCCCTTGTTTATCCATTCCTCTACGTGGCCCACAGAACAGCTCTGGGAGCTGTTTTCACTAGGTGAACTTAGATCAGTCCTCTGCTTCCGGGAAGCACCCAGTCGTGTCTAGGTTTGCCTCCAGGACACTTAGACAAGGCCTGGAAACTGCCATGACTGCAAGCACAGCCCTCCTGAGCGAGGGGTTTGACCTGTCTCTTCAGGTGAGCCTGTGTCCAGGAGGAGGAAGTGTTGGCAGGGTGTCACCTGGCTACAGGGAGACTGTGGAGTAGTCAGGAGACTTTGTCTGTGTGTCTGTTCAACTGGTCTGTACAAAATGTGAAGCCAACATCTATTGATTGATTGATTTGTTTAACATTCGGGCTGCAATGCGCAATGGTGTGATAAGAGAGTTTGTAGAAGCAATATTGCAAATCCACACATTCCTTGGCACTGGAGAGGACATGACCTGCATATGGAAATCCAATGATGTAACCCTCTGAAACTGCTGGGGGAGACCAGCCAGGTTCACCATCAAGTTGGCCATGCTCAGTTCAAACAAACAGGCCAAGGCTGGGTCATAGTTTCAAAACATTCAATCTTTGGACCTGCTTTCTAAGGTGTTTCAGTTTTCCAGACAGGCAAACAAGGCCCATTTTTTCCTCCCCACCCCTGCCATGAACCCACTGACCTACTTCCCCTCAAGAGCCTTGAGTATCCAGTGCCTAGGTCGCCAGGCAGCTCTCCCTTGATATAGGAGCAGGCTTCCTCCTCTGGATCCTGAAAGGAGAATTCTGATTAGTACCTCTCAAAGAAAGGTTAAAGTGTAGCTCGGAGGCTCCTAACAGTTGCAGAACGATCATTCCTGAGGTCAAGTGCAGGCCCCAGTGACTCACTGTTAGGTGACACGGGTGTCATTTAACACTCTTGAGCCATCCCTTCTCAGGTAGGCTTTGCTGCTGCAGTTACCCCACCGTCGTCCTCCGGCAGTCTCAGCTTCTCTGTGACACCCTTCTCATCAGTAATGCCTGGGTGTCATCTCTCCAAGAGAAATCTGAGAAGGAACCAACATTTCCTGCCTCTCACTCCCCTCTGGCCACCCTGTGTTCTTCTCTCCAGCATTTCCTTTTTCTGTCTTTCCCTTTCTTCATGCTTGTTCTGTTTTTGAGAGTCTCGGATACTCCAGACAGGCCTCTCACTCACTATGTAGCTGAGACTGGCCCCTGTGGACCTCCTGCTTCTACTTCCCAAGGTGGATATCACCATGCCTGGCTCAAATTTCCTTTTGAAAGGATTTCTTGGAACTGGAAAGAGGGCTTGGTGATGAAGAGCACATGCTGCTCTTGCAGAGGTCCCAGGTTCAGCTCCCAGCACATAACATCTCTCAACTCTCTGTAACTCCAGTTCCGGGGCATCTGACGACCTCTTCTGGTCTTCATGGGCACCAGGCACACACATAGTGCACGCATGCGCGCACACACACACACACACACACACACACGCACACGCACACACAGGCAAACACTTATGCACTTAAAATTAAAATACTCTTAAAAGGATTGTTGCATAATTGTTTGAACTGAATTGTGCCCCCCCCCCCACTCCTGAAATTCATATTAGAGGCCTAGCCTCTGGTGCTTCAGAGTATGGCTAGATTTGGAAAGGTGATAAGTTACAAAGAGACTGTTAGGGTAGGTACCGATCTGCTTGCTTGACCTCAGATTTCTACCCTCCAAAAGGCAACACCATATCAGCTGTTCTGTGCCTGCCTATTCTGGGGACCTGGTTAAAGCTGAGCACACAAATAAAGTTAGACTTTTTTTTTTTCCCGAGACAGGTTTCTCTGTGTAACAGTCCTGGTTGCCCTGCAACTTGCTTTGTAGACAAGGTTGGCTCAAACTCACAGAGATTTGCCTGCTTCTGCCTCCTGAGTGCTGGGACTAAAGGTGTGTGCCACCATGCCCAGCTCAGTCGAACTGTTTAAATGCTGTTTTTAAAATTTACTTATTTTATTTTATGTATATGAGTGTTTTGCTCACATGTATGTCTGTGTACACACACGTGAGCCTGGTGCCCACAGAGGAGGGCACTGGATTCCCTGGAATGGGGGTTATGAACAATAATGAGCTGGGAATGTGGGTGCTGGAAATCAAACCCAGGTCTTTTTCAGTAAGCGCTCTTAACCACTGAGCCATCCCTCCAGACAGCCCTACAGTTAGATTTCTATTTCTATTGCTCTTTTTAACCTCTCCCACCCAGGATTTCACTGGTCCCCACAAACTGCTGTTTCAAGGTCACCGCTGACACTATCCAACAGGTCCTAAGTCACTGGGCCTAACAGGTCCCACCTCTGGGACTTCCTTGCAGCTGCTCAGATTCCACAATAGGAGCTATTTCAGTGACTCTACCATGACACTCTCATTTTTCTACTCTCTTCCGTGGCTGTAAATATCACAAAAACACTGGAAGTCACACCCTCACCTCAGCCTTCCCACCTCTCCCCGGAGCTGCAGACCAAGCCACCAATGGCCCTGGACATTCCCACTGAAAGACCTACAGAGCATTTCCAGTCCAACGCCCACCTCCATCTCGCCTCAGTTTCCCATTGCCTTTCCTGGTGCTGTCTATTCACCGGTGAAGTCAGAGTCCCAGCATCCCCCATTCCCCACCACCCTGTACATATCTCAGCTCACGTAACAGCCTCAGCTCAACCTAAAACAAACCCTGATTTCCACCGTTCACCCCACATCTGCTGTTGCCACCTTGCTCTGAACAAACAGTACCGCCCTGCCTCCCACGTCCCTCCTCACCTCTGGGTTCATCCTGACTGAGGGGCCCTGCTGACTCCTGAGCCTATTCACATCTCATCAACTTGTTTATTTGTTTGTTTTTTTCTTTTTTCTTTTTCAATACTAGGGATGGAATCTGGGGCTTGTGCCTGGTAGGCAAGTGGTGGGTCACTGAGCTGCATCTCCTACCCTTAGTTCACAAAACCCTTTTCTTTTGAAACATGGTCTTAAACTGCGTGACTTGCAATCTTCCTGCCTATCCTTCTGAGCCATGGGACGACAGAGACTCACACCCAGAACCTGGCTCTCACCACATCTTGAATACAATGCAGATTTGCTCTGCTTTGCAAGTTCCCTCTCTGGCAGTGGCCCTGTCCGGCTGTGACCACATCGTCTGCCCTCACAACCCTCTGGCTATATTGCCAGTCTTCTGTAGTGACCCGGGTGGCAGCAGGGCCTATAGACTCACCGTTCCTTCTCTTTGGGTCTAACTTAGGGCTGGCTCAAAGCTCATCCCCTGGAGAGTCTTTCTAGAAACCCTCCTCTCACCTAGCACCTGCTGGAAGGTCAGAGAAGTCAGCACACTCAGGTTACAACCAAACCATGTGCCAAACACTGTATCAGATACTCATTATTTATTATCTCAGCTAACCCTCAGAACCACCTTTGAAAGGGCCTTCAAAAAAAAATCCTTATTTTATAAATCAAAATACTAAAGTGAAGAGAGGTCAAATGCAAGGTCCCAAACTAGCCCTCTAAACCACTACTCCTGTTCAATTCTACCCTGAGTTGTGGGTAATTGGGCTCCGAGGAGTTGGCTCTCCAGGGCTGGCGGCTTCTATCACACTTGCTTTTGGGTGGGTAAAGTCACCTAGGTACAACAGTGTGTACTAGGGAGGGAGAGTCAGATAATACACGGTGCAGGTCAAAGCCCAGCATGCCTTTAACCCCACACTTGGAAGGCTAAAGCAGAACTGCCACAAGTTCAAGGGCAGCCTAAGCTATGGAATGAGACTTTGTCTCAAACAAAACAGAACCCAACCAAACAAAAAACAACAACAAGGAACAAAATCTGAGTTTGGTAGATAATATTATATATATTATATATTTGGTAGGTATATATATTTACTCATGGGTCCTTATTTTAATAGGCTAAAAAAAATGATGACCTTTGGTTCTTCACTCAGGTAGGTTTGAGACTAAAGTTCTCAGAGGCCATTAAAACCTTTACAATTAAAAGTTTTTTGTTTCTGTTTTTGTTTTTTTCCAACAGGCAGTGGTGGTGCACGCCTTTAATCCCAGCACTCGGGAGGCAGAGGCAGGTGGATCTCTGTGAGATTGAGTCCAGCCTGGTCTACATAGTGTGTTATAGGTCAGCCAGGGATACACAGAGAAACTCTGTCTTAAAAAAACAAAGGTTTTTTTCACAGCATCTTTTACATATATGGTCACTGACTTACCATGTCGCCTCCACTAGAAGCAAAGTTCTGGAGAACCAAGACTGTTTTGCTGTCCTGGTAAGCGGCAGAGTGTAAGGTGCTCATTTTAAAATGTTGAATGGATGAAAGAATGCCAGAGGCATTCTGTGACCTGCTTGGATGAATGCCCTACATTACTTACCTAAGCAGTAACGGGAAACAAAGGACTACTCCCTGCCAAATGGGAGGAAGAAGAGGCCTTATAGGAATAAGAGGCCCCACAAGAATAGAAACACAACACGCAAACAAAAACAACTCTGAGCCAGGCAGCGGTGGCACATGGTTTTAACTCCAGCACTCAGGAGGCAGAGGCAGGTGGATCTCTGAGTTCGAGACCAGCCTGATATACAGAGAGAGTTCCAGGACAGCCAGGGCTAGAGAGAAACCCTGTCTCAAAAAACCAAACCCAAACAAACAAAAAAACCAACTCAGCCTCTGGAGAACATTTAGGGATGATCTTGCCCCCTACCCCCAACTGCAAGAGTGAGTTTTGGTACTATTGTATGCAAGTGGATTCTTATCTGTGCATCTATCTGCCCAGAAACCAAGAAGCCTAAAGATGAAGTTGGGCTTCACTGAAGCCAGTCACTGACATGAGATCCCCTCAGGTCCCCTAAGTTCCTGTTCGTTCGTTTGTCTGAGACAGTCTCATTCTACAGCCCACACCAGCCTGGAACTCAATATACAATTCGGGCTGTTCTTAAACCTGTGGTAATCCTCCTGCTCAACCTCCTGAGTACTGGGACTTCAGGTATGTGCCATCATGGCCAGAATGAGGTCCATAGTTCTTGAGGGTGCTTCTCTCCAGCATTCCCCACATCCCATTAATTTCTAGTGCCTCTTCTAGTGCATAATTCCTTTTTAAGAATTTTTTGTTTCAGACATAGTCTTAGTGTATAGTCCAAACTTGCTTCAAATTCAGTACTCTCCTGCCTCAATCTCCCTAGTGTGAAGGTTTTATTTTTTTTTATTTATTTTTTTTTTTTTTTTTTGGTTTTTCGAGACAGGGTTTCTCTTGTGTAGCTTTGCGCCTTTTCCTGCAACTCACTTGGTAGCCCAGGCTGGCCTCGAACTCACAGAGATCCGCCTGGCTCTGCCTCCCGAGTGCTGGGATTAAAGGCGTGCGCCACCACCGCCCGGCGTGAAGGTTTTATTTACATTCTAATTTTTTATTACATGTGTGTGTGTAAGTGTGCATGTCCGTGCATGAAGAGTGTAGATGTCAGAAGAGAATTTGTGACAGTCAGTTCTCTCCTTCCACTATGAGGCTCTCCAGGATCCAATGAAGATCATTATGCTTGGTGGAAAGTGCCTTAACCCATTGAGTCATCGTTGTTGCTACATGACCGCACATGCGCTGTCCAGCAGCCAAGCAAGAGGTTCAGTCATCCCTTACATCCTATGTAATCCATGTGCCGAGTGATCACCTAATCTACGCGCATGAGTGACATGGCTACGTACGTCCATGCGCATGTGCAGGGGAATCTATAAAAAGTGGGTCACAGACTCCTCC